CTTTGTGGCTTTTCAATTGCGCTTTTTTCTTCTTCCACATCCACACGACACACAGAGAGTCGGCGGATCGGCCGAGTCTTTAGAATTCGAAACTGACAATGTCCAGCATTGAAAATCATCGACTGCAAAATCTCGAATGTCATGGACGGCGCGGGACAGGGACGGCCCGTTGCTCTTTCTAAACTGTAGGCAAGTTTCACAAATTAGAGGCTCTGGCCGCCTGCCGTGTCGCACTGCAAGGATGTCCCCTTCAGGGGCGGTCCTTTTCTTCAGTTTTATCTCCCATTGTCCAGGTCGGCTAGTTTTATGGTTGACGCGAGCATCTCTTTGACTCCGACCTGACATCATTGTCCCCGTTTTGCAGCTGCCTGTATATCGGCTGATGTCTTACTTCTTGTCAGCTTCCCTGGTAGCATTTCTTGAAAAAAAAAGAAAAATAAGGGAATAAGATATCCTTTTTTGCGCAATGTTTGTTTGTCGTTCCGATGTCCTTTTCTCAATCCTCCTGTAGGTGGTTACTAATTGGGTTATTGTCAAATATTTGATAAGATTAGGCGGCAGCTGCTCCTACTGCTGCAGCGGCTCCTGACCAATTAATATTTCTCCTGGCGTAATCATGAGCTGGAAAATTTATAGTTCCGTGGAAGCGCCGTCGTGTCTTGCTATCCTTTCCTGTTCCCTACCACAAAGAACACTACGAGAAACTAGTTAGGACCCAGGAATTTAATTAGAAAAAAATATTATAAAAAGCTAATTAGCAACTTTGATGTAGAATATAAAGTTAAAGAAATAGCCAAGAAATCCTATACAAAAATTATCCTAAAAACAATTCTTAATTTCTTTAAGTGCCCTCAAATATTAACTAAAAACTGGGATGTAAATGAAGGCCCACCAGCGGGTCGAGGAGGCGCCTTGGCGTCATCATAATTTAAATCGCGGCACGCGCACTGAGCGGTTGTAAATATGGAAAATGGGGAAAACTATGCCCAGGGCACATTTGCGCCAACGTCAGACATAATTTTCCAACGAAACCGAATGAAAATGAGCATTACCCCCGCTCAGGTCGGCGGTCCTTCTGCCGCATATCAAAACAGTTTTTACCTGTTGATCGGATGGGCTGGGCATGGATGATTGGGATTCAGATTGGAAATGGGTTGGATCCGAGCCTGCGGATAGGGCGCCTGGCGGAAGGTTATGACAATGTTATACGCTAATTGGGCACAAAAACATTTTTGAATTTATGGAAATTTTATTACACTACCGAGCAAGGTAAGGGTTGTAAAGGAAATGGTTATTGGTAAGGTTTTTAGGGTTAGAGCAATGTTATATATTAGCTGATAATGGTAGATATATATATGATAATGGTGAGGTTATTAGGATTAGGGCCATGTTAGCTGATAGTACGCGATTTATATAAACTATAATGGTTAACAGATTCAAAATTTAACATAAATCTTGACACCTTCAAAGGAAAAGTAAAAGATTTTTGTTTTTAAATTAGATTATTTTTTCGATTTTAAGCAGCAGAAATTGAGGATATATCTAAGATCGTGCAGCTTAGTGTAGCAGTTTAAAATATAATATCCATTCCTACCTATCCCCTTAGTAATATTCCACTATATCTTTGTCACACATATGTCCCCAATATGAACATAATTCCCGATTCCTTGCGGGGTCGCCTCCTCTCGATTTCGTTGGCAGCGCCTTATGACAGTTTTATGGTTTTGGTGCAGCGCCCAGCCCTACGCTACTTTTGTTTAAATGCAGGCAACAAAATCAGAGGAAGACAACGAGGAAAACAACAAGGGAAATTATGCATAATTTAATTTGTATATAATATATGCATTTTCCGAGCCCAATTCCTACGCTACAAAAATTCCTAGAAGTTTGTGGCGACGGAAGCCGCTGGCGACAGTCAGCCTTCCCCAATATATATATTTCTGTGTGGGGAGGAAAATTTATTCATGTTTCTCGTTTTTTATTGTGTTTTACTCGTAATTTGATTTTGATTTGGGAATTTTAATTAATAATCATGTTTTTTTTTCTCTGCCTTTGCAGTGGGGGGGACGCTTTGAATTTTTGATGAAATATTGTTATGAATGCGCTGCGTGTGCCATGAACATGTAAATGGAACTCGAATTTGACTCGGAATTATAAAATTTTTGATGGTTGGGGGCGGCTAAAAAGTCACCAAACAATATCATAATAATTTTATGGCTTTTAGAACATCTAATTGGCCAAAAAGAAATTTTATGGCTGAGCTATTTTAATTGTTAGATTTTGGTTTAGCGGTTTATTGGGGATTCAGTGAGGTGTGCAGTAGATTTTGATATTTATTTAATAACAAATATTATTATAAAATGAAAAATAAACCAACAAGTCCGAAAAACACTTTACCATGAACCATAATAATTACAGAAATTTCAGGGAAAATACCAGAAAAGAAAACAATTGTCGTCGACTTGAAAGCGGAACTCGTGTATTGCATTACCCGTATTGAAAATGAGAGAAAAAAGAAGGAAAATCTCAATTAGTGTGCACTCGAGAGCGTTCTGAAAAGAACAGAAGACCAGAAGCTGAGAAGGAAATTTGCAAAAAAGATCAATTTTCCAGCGAAACGGAAAGCCGGGGCGCACATTTTAACAGGATAAGATGCGTTTAAGCAAATGAACGGACAAAAAGGACAAAGGACGTGAGTCCGTCGGGCCAGGCCATTGAAGTTGCAGCCAGAGAAAAGCCAAAGCAACAAAGCGAAATGGTCAAGCCACAAAAGGCAAACGGTGCGGAGCCAGCAGCTGGCCAAGATGTGAGCAATAGAGATTAGCCAAGACGAAGAAGAAGAAGAAGAAAAAAAGGAGCAGCATATCCTGAACACAATACCTTTTAAGCAAGGGAAGCAAAAACCAAAAACGGAAGCAAAGTCTTAAGACGGTTACTCGCTTTTCGATTTAAAAAACATCTCAAATTAATCCCATTTGGCGGAAAATGTACATACACCGGAAAAAATATCAAGAGAAAAAAGCATAACGAATGGAATAAATGCGGCGGCGAAAAAAAAAAACCAGCTGGGCATTCTGTAGAGGCGGCATCCTGCTGCCAACTTTTAGTACAAATTTCATGCTGGCTTTGGGTACCAAATTTTCGTCTGTCAACTTGCCGACAGTCATTTTTGGCCAAGAACTGTTGACACTTTCAGCTGTCTTTTGATGTCCTGGTGCTAATATGTTAAGCAGCAGGCCATCCAAAAACCGGACCATTTCAAAATTCATGCTGCGAGCTGCAAGCCGAGAAATTCCTTCACACTCCCAGGATTGAGCTGTCATCGCAGAGTTTGGTCCTGCGGCGCTTTAGCCAGAGAAAATTCGGTATCTTGAAAGCGTTTCGCTGGTTTCCAAAAAAAAAAATATGATGTGGGAATATATATACAAGAGTATATATCTAAGGTCTTTTCATTGGAAATCTTCACTGTGTGGAAACACTTGACCCACATCTTTGGGCCCAGAACTAGTTTGCCTGCTCAATCAAATTGCGTAATCGATACTTTGCCCCAAAGGCAGACTTACGATCTAAGATACAAAAGCGGGGACAAAAGGATTTTCTGCTACATTGAGTTACGTAAAAAGAGAGATCTTAAGGTATTCCCTAGGATCTCTAGGCAGATGCTCAGCTTATGTGGGCTCAATCAATTGAGGATCCTCTCCATCAAGAGGGATCAATATCAAGAATGGTTTGGAATTTTTTCATCTGGAAACCTCAAACAAAAACAGACAATCTAGAAGAGAATATTAAACGGATTATTGACATTCAGTGAATGCATTAAAAATTATTTTATTTTAGGGAAATCAATAAAGTTTTGCTTAAGAAAACTAACAAATTAAGTTGGTGAAGAAATTATTTTTATTTATTTTAAAATATAGATTTTTTAATTCTGGCAATTGTCAATCATTAAGTGATTGAATTTTCCTGCAAATTTTTGGAAAGTTTTATGAAAAGTCGTTAGGAATTTATTTATTTTTATAAATCTACGAAAATATTCAAAATATTAGTTTGTCAGAAAAGTCCTGCGGTACTTTCGCTAGTTGGCGCTGAAAGCGCTTAGTTCTTGTTTTATTCGTCGCATCAGGTCATACTATACCTTTTTGGAAACCTCATTTCACTCGCTAACACGTGTTTGATTGATTGTCTTTTCTTTTAAGTCGATCGTGAGTTATAGCGTCGCAATCATGGAGCAAAATAAAGAGAAAATACGGCATATATTACATATATTACAGGACGATTTTATGAAATGAGCTGAAATGAGCTATCCAAAAAGGTATAGTATGACCTGATGCGACGAATAAAACAAGAACTACGCGCTTTCAGCGCCAACTAGCGAAAATACCGCAAGACTTTTTTGACAACCTAATATTATATAATATATGCAAAGAGAGACAATATTATTAAAAAGGTTTATATATATTTTAATGTTTTGTTTTTGTGAGACATTTCAGCACTAGGCTATAAAAATGAGACAGTTTTCAAAAACATTTTTTAGTTCTTTCGGAATCGTTCGCCCAACACAATCGAGATGAGATTTTTTAATTTCTGCCTTTTTCTCGTGAGTTGCTAAATACATATACTAAATTCTTATTATTAAATTGAATTTTCTGTGACAGTGCCTAGTTTTGGCCTTGTTCACATCGGTGATGACCTTTCCATCGTATTATGACGCGCCACAGACAAACCCTCAGGAATATTATGATCAACATGAAGATTAAATTTAAAATCTTTAAAAGAAAACAAATAAAATATTTAAATAGTTAAAACTATAAAGACTATTGTTGGAAAATGTTTAAAAACTTGAATAGTTTTAGTTCAATAAATAAAAACAAAAACGTGAACGTGTAAAGAAAAATATCTATTATTCAGATTATTTTGGATTAAAAACTAAGTGAAATCAGCTCTGAATTTTTGATCAATGACATTACAAAAAAGGTTTTAAGTAAGTTATTTTTACTAATTTCTTTAAGATTAAAAAAGCCGAATCTTAACTAGCTTATGTTTTGTTGTAGGGTTAACAAATTCCAGGTTAACTTTGCTATTAAAAAGCAATTTGAGTGCTAAATCTGATATGGGAAAATAAATAACTTTAATTGAAGGAACCATCGAAAAATCTATCATAAGTACTTCAGCAATGAAGTGCATTAGAGAGCTGTTATAAACTATTATTTCAATTTAGTTAATTTATTGAAATTCAAATTTCTAAATAATTATCAATGGGTCGTCGCAAGTCGAAACGCAAGGGAGCCCCAAGGCAGAAAAATATTGTGCCGCTGCCCATACTCTTCGACTGTCCTTTCTGCAATCACAAGCAGGCCTGCGAGGTCAAAATGTGAGTTAGAATACCAGCATAGAGTTGTTATATCACTAACTTTTTAACTATAGAGATCGAATCAAGAATTTAGGCCGAGTTAGCTGTACTGTTTGCCAGGAAATGTATCAAACCTCGGCCAATTATCTAACAGAGCCAATTGATATTTATAACGATTGGATTGATGCCTGTGAGAAGGAGAATTAATATTTTTAGCGATGTTCTAAGAAACTTTTTATAATTAAGAGGGGGTGACAAGTCGACTGAGCTTATCAAGAATAAATATTTCACGACTTTTTATACTTATATTATACATTCTACATTCTATGCATTATATTTTACTTATACTTCATATTGTCTCTAAACATACTGCATACTTTTAGGTTGCAGAACAAATTTTAAGGGTTTACCAGCCATTCAGCCTTTCAGCCATTCAATGCGAGTTTAAACAAATTTTAGATTAAGATTTCTTAGAAGGCCAACCAAAAAAAAGTCAAAAAACTAAAAAAAAATGTAAGAAGTAAATCAAGATTTCTTACAAGACAAATATGACAATTTTGTAAAACAATTTAATCTAAACTATACACAAAGACAACCGTGATTTTGCTTTCAAGCCATACATTTGGTCAATGTCAGTACAAACATATATATTAAGTATCTCCAATTAGTACATATCTGTAGTCTTATAAATTAATTAGGCAGGCCAATTTTTAGCATCAAGAACTCTGTTCTAGCTAGCCAGAATTCCCAAGCATGCCTTGAAAGTGCTGACCTTGATCACTCACTAGAAACCTCAAACTCAAACTCAATAGCTATGCTAATATTTTGTTAGTTGCTATTATTTAGAATTTTAGGGCAATTCGTTGATCTTGGGTTAGTCAAACACTGTCTTTTGGGTCGAACGATTCGCCAGACATTTTGCCAACAAATTTTTGGGTATATAAGCCGAAGCTAAAAGTTAACTTAACATCGAAAGCTTCTCAAGCCACAATCTCTATTATCAAACATGCAGTCCAACAAGGGTCTCCTCCTGGTCTTCGGTGAGTTTACAAGGAAATACGCAGGATTAGTTAGAAAATCTAATATAAATCCTAATATTTAGGTGTCCTCGTCATGGTGATTGCCGCCAGCCTATCTCAGAAAGTTGTGGATCAGGAAAACGATGCCATCAGTGATCGTCGCTTCCGTTGGGAATTCTCGCAAGATTCCGATGAGTCTGCCAATGATTTGCAAGAAGACGACGACGACGAGGATGATTCCGAGCTGGATGATGATGATGATGAAGAAGATGATGAAGATGATATCGGTAGTGACGAGTCTGACGACTTGAATACCGTGGAGATTATTACGTACACTGAACCAGCATCATCTGAAAGTGCCTCCAACGAAGCTTAAAAAATAATTTATCAACATTTGTTTTTATAATTAGTATTTGTTTTTATGTTGAAAATTTTAAATAATAAAAAATATTTTAATTTCATAATTTTTACTACCCCACAATGACATTTCATTAACAAAATATTTTGTATAATTAATTTTATTTAACATAATTTAAAGTATGTATAATTCAATTTTAATATGGTTTACATACAATATTTATAGTTTTATTTGCATTTAATTTAAACATTTTAGTATTATGCATTTAAATATATTTAAGGTATATTTAAACTATGACTAAACATAAATTTTACATGATTTTCTTTGTCATCTCGCTAGTGATGTCGTTCAATAATTTATTTGCAATTTCTACTTAGTTTGAAACCAAATATATTGGAATGATGGGACACAGGCAACACAATTTTTTATAGGATATACAAAACGCAAAACGCTCAATTATACATTTACATACATTTAATACAAAGTTGTTTTTTGTTGATTTTTTTGGGGAGGGTCATCTGATTAAATAATTTTGGATTGCTCTAGAAAGAGATCAGAGCTAATCGGTTTTAAAAGGTGTTATCATAAATTTGCATTTGGTTATTAAACAATTGGAAATTGCACATGATTATGTAGTTTGCCTGCTGATGGTCTCTTGGTTAGGTTTGCCCTTCTTCAAATGTTGCGTTTTGAGTCTTGTTTTCTCACGGCACACCCAGCTGCTCTCCAAATCTTTTGATATCGCAAAATATCAGCTAACTTCCAGATCACACATTGCTATCCGTGCCCACGGCTCCAGTAAAAGAGAAGGGCTGGGCATTGTTAACAATCCCCGCTCGATCGTTAGTCTGGGCAGGTGTGTTGCCTCCAAAGGTTTGCTGAGCAGCTGCCCGCATATCCTCAGCGGATGCTCTGTTGATAAGAAAATGAAAAAAGTATTAGATTGGAATTTGGAAAAGTAATAAATTTAAAGAATTTACAAAAGTGCTCAACTAAAAACTGTGATGTCGCCTACATAGAATGAAAGAAAAAATGAAAAGAACAGCCAGAATGTTCAATGTTTTTGTTTTTTGCTAAATCAACGAAAAATAAACTAAGGCAGCATAAAATAGAGTTTTGAAATTTGTACAAAAATACCAGGATCTACAGGAATCAATCAATCTAAATCTCAAAATACAAAAATTAAAATACATCTTTACTACTCAAAAGTGGTTTAAAAAAATTCTACGAAAAAAATGTACAAAATCGTTAGGATTAACAAATAGGAAAAGCTCAAAATGTATTTGCCTTTGGTGATCTCTTGGGCGCAGCTAAGTTATTAACGTAAATCGTATTTCGCTGTTGGCCGCCGTTGGTTGTAACTTGGCTTTAACGGCAGGCAGGTATTCTTTTTTGGACAGTTTTCATGTGGCATTTACAAAAAGTCTTTGATATTTGTTTCATGCGTTTGTATTCAATTGCTAACGAAATATTTTACATGATTTCATTTTTAGTGTTGCGTTCATTGATTAACAAATTTCAACAAAATTTATTACGTTTACGTTTCATTATTAATTCAGGTGAGATTCTCAGTTGCTGGCGAAGGCTACAATTGTAACAAGTTCTCGCGAGTATTTATCAAAACAAACTTTTCTTAAATTTATGCTAAAATAAAACATATACAATAACTTAAGTGTAAATAAATAGCTTTTTTGGAATGCTTTACTCTAGTAAACCAAAAAAATAAAAAAAACAGGCCAATAGGCAACAATAATTATTAATGTAAAAGGTTTTCTCTCAGACTTTCAAAGTTAAAACGATTGGAATAAATACTTAAAATTAACTTAGTTTTAAAATAACTTTTTTAATAAAAGCATATACTTTTAGCAAATAAGAAATCATACGAAGACCCGAAAGAAGCAAACCTATTAACAAAGTGATTGTCTAAAATGAAAAACGTCTAAGTAAAAAGGCTACAAATTGAAATGGACATTTAGTTTTGTTTACAACATTTAAAAAATATAACTGTTAAATCCTCAACTTGTTGTATATATATATATATTCTATTTTTTGTATGCTTTTCTTGATTATGTTCAATTTCAATTTGTGACTATCTTGCGAGCAAATTTTAATCTCAAACAACTTTTTAACATTTAATTTTATGGTTTACATCGAAGCAAAGCATATAAAGTTAATACTTTCTGAGTTGTACATATTGCTCTAGGTTCTCGACATTCACTTGTCCATATCTATCATCATCAGTGGCTTTTTTTTGTATTTTTTTAATTAGCATTATTTAGCTGTTTGTGAGAGAGAGTGTGTGTGTGTGTGAGTCTGGAAGCTGTGGTTTACTTATAGGTTTCTCTTGCATTCGGTTAGCTTTCAAATATAGTTTCTCACTAAAAATATATGCTTGCTGCAGTTTGACATGTGTATTACATTATTGTTATCAGTAGTTTCTCTATGCATATAATATATATATATATATGTATATATATACTGTAGTATTCAACAACACCAACTGCTCAATCGAAAGACATTTGTTAAAAAAAAAAAAAAAATACAAATTTGAACACGAATACGAATACGAATTTGAATGACATGCAAAAAGGGAGGGACGAATGACGAAAATGCATTTGCCCAAAAAACACTTTGATTACTAACACTCTCTGGTTTCAACAATAATGAAAGAATTTCGTTCAATTTCTTTTTGTAATTGGTGGGGTGTTCTGTATTCTAGTTCTCTGATGCCCTACAATGCTGCTTCTTTTTCTTCGTGATTTTGGTTTATCTTTTCCTTCTCCTAGTTACATATTTTTTCTCCTTGGAACGAACACTAAAAACTAGGCGCCGTAAAATATTTGTTACTCGATCAATATTTTGCATCATTTGCATTTCTAGTGTGGAGTGTGTGTGTGTGTGAGTGTATCTGTGTCTTTATCTGTATCTTTATCTGTATCTGAGGGTGTAAGAGTTGTGGTTTCTTGTTTGGCAGTTACTAATCGCGCGGCTAGGAATTTATGTGGGACGCCAGACATCGGGATCTTCCATGAGTGTGATATGCTGATCGCCGCCCATCTGCATCTGACCGCCCGCCTGACTGCCGGCCATCTGTGTGGGCGATGTGGCAGCGGCGGCCATGTCCTCTCGCGAAGCTCTACGTAACGTATTAGTTTTATATATTTAGTTAAAGCGTTTTCACATTGGCAAGCACATCGTGGGAAAATATAGAGAAAACATTTGGTTTCGATTAGCAAAAATGGCTTAGCTTAGGCTAACTAAACTCGCTCGTTCATCCTCCGCTGGCTTAGCAACTAATCTTCTAAAACCCCACACTATGAATTAAAATCGTTTTGAAATTCAGAAAATCGCCATGAAAGTTAATAATGCTCAAAGCATCTTAAAAATATTACAAAATCCATCACAGAAAGATCCATTTCTAGTAGTCTTTTCAGTTTTTATCTTTACGATTTTATATTTATATTTTCTGTCTTATCATCAATCGCTCAAGTAAGTTTCTTAGAGAAAGGCATAGATTTTCTGAATTCAATTCCGATTTTTGTCAAGTGCCTAGTGCCCCGTACTCACTTCTTGCCTAACGCCATCATTCCGTAGACAACGCCAGTTCCCAAAATCAGGCCACTGCCGAATAAGCTGGCCAATCCAAAGCACAGGATAATGGGCGGAATAGCCATGCTAAAAATAAAATGTAAAGATTAAAAAATAATGCAACTAATAAAAATTCCATTTGATAACTCACGCAATGTAGAGTCCGGCCCTGAAATACAGGGGCTTGGAGTCCACCTTATCCGCGATCATGTTCACCTGCTCGAAGCAGACAAAGCAACAAGGTGCCTCCAGGAGCATCACCACAAAACCTGCCACCATTTGAATGATGCCAGCCACCAGGCAGGATACGCTGAGAGTGAGAATGGAGAATACATTCCACAGGCCGAAGAGAATGGCAACTAAAAAGAAGAGATAAGAAAATAGATTAATTAGGATATTTTCATGGATTTTATTAGGGAAATTCGTATTAATTGATTGTGAAAATGTCTTATTTTCATAGACAAAAACAGACGTCATATATATATTTCTTTCCATGAAGTAGAAACAAGGTTACTGTGAATCAGCAAAGCTGATAAGTTTTATAGGAATTCTGCTATCAAAGCGAACTTTACATACAACTGATAACTGATTTTAGCAAGAAATAAATACAACTATTAAAATTGTACATTTTTTTAAACAGACAAATAAGTTCATGCCTTCTAATAGCTTTTTAAATACTTATTAGTAGCTTAAGTACATAATAATGAAATATATTTTATAATAAATTTTGATTTAATCATAAAACATATTTCACAATTTTTACATAAAAAATCGTAGGCGTATTTCCTTATCGGAAAACACTAACCCAAGAGACTGACCAAAAATTTAAATCACAAACTCCCAATAGGCACATTTAGAAATTTGGCAATTTAATCTAATCGACAATGATGACTCATATATGGGTCAATTTCTATTGGCTTACGAGCCCACATATCTTTTATTTATAAATTAACCACAATAGCAAGCCACAGAAGCGTGACAAACAGCAAAGAAACAGTTGGGCAAATTGTTAGCTGACGTTCATGGAAAATGTTCTAAATTCCAGTTGATATTGCTAGGGGCGTACAGGCAAATTACATTAAAATATTTTATCAGCTGCTGTTGGTCTATGATTAGAGCATAAACAAATAGTAAACACACACACAGACAGACGACTTTAAGTCTAAGATAAACAAATGCCTGGGCGTGATAATTGGATAAAGGTAGCTGGAAAAAGTATTACGGAAGATCACGAGGGTAAACTCAGTTCTTGGAGACTTAAAATGTTTTAATTTATAGTTAAAATTCTTTATTATTGGGTCTCTTTAAAATATTTTTTATTTGGCTTTTGCCGGTTTTATTTTTCCTTTTGCGAAATCCAATCTGGGTTTTGGGGTTATTGCGGTTCATAAAGCCAGACCAACTGACCGAACCTTGGGGGAAGAAGTCGTTGCGCTCTGCGGGACGACCGGCTTATAAAATTATTTATTAATCATAGACTTTTGGTTTTATTTTACTCAAAACACAACCGGTTCATTGTGGAAGCCGCACGAGTGAGTTTTGCTCCCTTAATTGAGGTATTCATCTATTTATATTGATTTTAAGTGGATGGTGTTCGTTTGTTGGGCAACAATTGCTTGATAGAAAGTTCTCCATTTCCCTAAGTAAGCGATAAACATTACCAGGAAATGCATTAACAAAAGATGAGATTTTTCTTAGGCAAGAAAAACTGCAATGCTTAGTTCCTTTGAAAATATAAGCGTTTATCACAGAGTTATTATTCCAATAAATTTTTATTAGCAATCAATCTTGTTTCCATGTAGAAATATTACATTTAATGGGAAATTTTTAACAATAAAATACGTAAGGAAATAGTATAGATTAGTATACTCGACTAATCAAGATTCTAAGCAATGTATTAAGATGTTGCAGATATGACACGTGGGGCATCCCAAGGGTTAAGGTTAAATGAGTGCAGATAGCAAAGTAAATACGCAAAAAGCGAAACAAAGATAAGAATAGAGAGGCCACGAAGAAAGCGGGGGATGCTGATAAAACAATAGGCAATGCGAATTCCGAGTGAACGGCCACAGAGAATTACATTCGATGTGGAGAAAAACAGAGCGCCAAACTTGACACAGAAAAGCTTCTTCTCACACTTGCAATTTCCTCTACACAAAAAGAAAACATCATTGCCTAATAGAACTGCGCAAGTCTGCGAAATAACAAAAATGATTCTAAAAAGAACTCATTTTCACAATTTTACCATTCTATCATGTTATCAAAATCGTGATAAAACTTTTTCAAAAAAAAAAATTTCTATATTTTAAACAATTTTTGTTTATTTTCATAACAGCAAAGTTTGTTTTTATATAAAATTTTAATTCAAGTAATCCAAATCATACTGATTTCGTTTAGTGTATGAATTTCTGTATCCTTTTTGTGTTGTCTTTTCCGTGTTTCCTTTCTTCGCTCTCTCACTCTCTTTTCCTTTATCAATGTCAGAGAGCGTGCGTACACACACAAACACACATACGAGCACAAACACAAAGACTCACCTACACCTACGAATAGATAACAGCAACAACAACGGGTGGTACAAAAAAATCGATGCAACATATTTTTGGGCCGACCAATGTCATGGATATGTTGTCTTACATTTTTGGGGATTTATGGATATATGAACGTCTTAACCTAACTCGGACTTACAGAAAGCGGCCACAATGCCCAGCAATCGACTTCCATATTTGAGATACCAGGGCTGCTCTGGTCCAATTGGATCTTGTTGATTCGGCCGTGCCAGCAGGCCCGTTATCTTTTCCGCAAACGACTGATCCGATCCGGAAAAAGGTAGCGGTAATGGTAACGGAAAGTGGAAAAATCGAAATGCAATTAGGAAAAATCGAAGCACAATTTTGTATTGTGACGCGGCGGCCGCTTTTTTTAACACGCATACAATGCCACTACATCACACACGTACGCACACCAGGTAACGCGCGGCTCACACGCACACACTATGATCACTGCGTCAGCATTTTATTAAAGTTTGTTAATCTCCTTCGATTAACAACTACCTACCATGGCTATTTATTTGGCTAGTTAACTAGGCTTAAACTAATTTTAACCAATATTATGTGCACTTTTCACGTCACACGGAACGAAAAAACTTCTGTTGTACTCTGCGTTCTGCTGCACATGAACCGAACTAGTTCGCGATTCTTAATGTCGATAACTCCTATCGATAGTGGAAGCTATCGAATTGATAAAGTAGTTCACAAGTGAAATATAAAATTTTAATTCTTACTTACTCATTATATATAAATATTTCTAATAAAACTAAATGTTTTTATTAAATAAGTTTTGTTCGAGGATCGGTTAAGTGTTGAAAAATGTTTTTAGAAGAAAAGAACTAGCTACTGCTCATCACTTATCGATTACTAAAATTGTTTCGATATAAGCATTCAATGTATTTTCTTAAAATTTTTATATGTTCAAAATAAACTGCTCCCTAAACAAGTGAGTAAGTTGTGCAAGGCTCATCTTCGGTTAGAAATAAATCTCGAGAAACACATACTTAAGTTGACTGAAACACTGTTCCTATGTGAGTCTCAGGAACTTAAATTAATGGATAGCGTTAAGCTTCTAAATACAATAACTTTCCCAATCTGAGAAATTATCAACAAAATAGGAAAGTGAAAGATTTTCTAAGATTTTTCATAAATTGTTGTAATCGATAAATTTACTCGATTATCGATATAGGCATCAAGAGTACCGAAATCGATATTTCCCAAAAGTGTGTGACAGTTTAAGTCTCATCGATACTATCGATTGGTCAACATCGAGAAAATCATTGATTATTTTTCAGCTTAATTTTGTTCTTAAGTTCGTAGAATAGATCACAAAATAAAAAAAATGGAAGATGGTAGAGCGTGCAAATTGTGCAGGGATAATAAGGCGAAGGAGATCGATCTCGAAAAGCCAAAGTTTAAATCGGCCAACAATCTGCTGCAGAAACTCTTCGAGTATTACAAAATCGATGTAAATTCGGGACGAATTTTTTTTTGTATTCTATATTTAAATCTTCCATTTTCCAGATCGCTATTCTAGGGGATAGTTCGTGCCTCTGCGAGCCCTGTTTTTATAACGTCTTACACATAAGCGAGTCCCTTGAGAAATGGAGCTCGACCCATGAAGAGATACAAGTCAAACCGCTCGAAATAGACGATTCCAATGCATTTCAGGTGAAGTTGGAAGAATTTGAAGATGAAATACACGAAGAAAATAAGGCCGAATCTCCCGATGAATATGAAACGGAAATGCAAGAAGAGGAAGGTGATGACCTATCGGGGCAAGACAATGATTTGGATATGACCGAAAAAGAACCATCCACCCCCTGGACTGGAGACTTTTTTAGCGTGGGATTGGACCGAGATGGCCTTGCGATATGTAAGTTCTTCAATGACAAAACCAAAACCATGCGGATTCTGTGCACCTGTTGCAACCAGGTTCTCGAAATTCTTGCCCTAATTCGGATTCACATTTCAAAACCCCGTCTAAATCCGACCTACTACTGTCGAGACTGTTGTTCAGATTTCCCCAGTCTTTGTGAATTAAAGACACACATTCGGATGATGGGTCATTTTAAAAATAAATGTGGTGGAAAGGAAATGGAATTCCTGTGCTTAAAATGCCATAAATTATTTCCAAAATACTTCGAAGTCCTCAGGCACGAGAACAGTGATCACGGTTCAATGGATTACATCTGTCGATATTGCAATAAGCGCTTTAAAACCCGAAGAAATTATGAGAAGCACCAACGGGACCATAACCCCAAACTGGAAAGACAGGAAAAATATGAATGCGGTGGTGAAGGTTGTAATCGAACGTTTCGAAAGTGGGAGCGATATGAGGCACACATGAGAAGTCACAAACCTCATTATTCCCAATGTCCCTATGTGGGATGCAATACCGAATTAAGTCCCAGAAATCTAAAAGACCATATACGATCACATGTAACGGTGCAAGCAGAGCGGGGTCATTTTCTAACTCTGGATCCTTTGAAGCGGGAAGAACCGGATCAACGAAAGGTGCCTTACGGCAAACATAAAATGCATAACCTAGGGATTCGATTTTTGTCGGAAGTTCCTGCTCCGCATTTCAGCGACGGAGGACAGTTCATCAGCCTGCCCAAACAGTTATCTTTGCAGCAAGGAAAATACATCAATTGTGATAACAAATCCTAGTTAACTGTTAATGATAGAATTTTTTTGATTTGGAATATTATTTTTCGTCAATACCTATACCATTTCTTTATATTTTCATTTTGATAGTAGAGAATATTTACGTTATTTTGACTCGTTATTTCTTTTATGCAATATAACGTTGAAAACTTATCTCATTTGAATTTAATTTTTAAGCATTCTAATTAAGATATGCAATGAAATGTTATTTTTAAGAAGTCTTAATACAAAATCATTAGTCTTGTAGTTTTAAATTTAAGTTTCTTCCCAAATGTATATTGTAGGCATTATGTTTTTTAATAAATGTTCATTGAATATTGCCTTATTAAAAGTGAAAGTTTTGAATTCGGAGTACGTTTTTCCTGCAAAATCTGTAAAATCTCACAATGTAAATTATAACAGTATAAACTGCTACCCTAAAAGAAGAAAGAAAATCCAGTTTTTAAAACTTGGTACATCAATTTATTGCCGGAATTTTAGGGAAAAAATAGAAATATATATTGCCACAAATTAGTTACTTAATGATCTTTTTACGTTACAATTGTTCTTGATTGGAAAGTTAACTTTGTTTTTCGTTTTTGGTTGTTTTGGCATTAAATTCTACAAATTGTATTTTTGATATCGTATGCTTTTGAAGGCAGTTCTTACACTAGAATAGAATTACACTCAACTTAATAATTTGGATTGTTCAATTGTTCAGATCGAATTTCGTTTTGGTTCCATTATCTTTTCAGGAAATCTATTCTGGTGTAATCACGACCCAACATTTTTGTTTTGGACGTGTTTACAGATTTGTTTTTGGTTACAATGGTTAAAATGCATAGCAGATTTAGCTCGGAGCGAGTATTCGGATCACTCGGATCGTCGGGCGGTGATGACTTTCAGGTGTTGGCAAGATTTCAATATATCAAGTCTTCGCGCATCCAACGTTCACTTAAATTAACTTAATGTTGTTGGTTGTAGTTCCATGGGCCCTTCACTAAAGATATTTAATGCTATGTCTATGGTTCTGCACAAAAATGAAAGTAAACTAAAATTTTAAACAGTATTGCAGTTTATGAAAATGAGTCGCGGTTTGATTGGATTCAGTTTTACAATTAAAATGTTTCACTTTGATTTTGTGTGTGATTCTTTTTTTTTCAACAAAATTTAATAATATTTAATTCTCGATTTTCTTGTAGTTTTTCAAGCTGTTTAAACAATGTTCTTCTTGTTTTGTAATTTGATATTCATTGCTTGCTAGATAAGTTTGATGTTTGTTTGTTTGTTTGTTGATTGGCCCAGACAAATGTCCAAAGAAATTAAGTTGATTTTAAAAGGAAAGAAAGAAGGCAACGAATCAAAATAGATCCAAGTTATTACCAATTTAATTGGCCATTTGTCTAAGGCGGTTGGAAACGGATTTTGTACTGTTTCCATGAAATAAAAGTTTAAACTATAGGTTTTTGTTTAATAAAAAAGGAAATATAATCCAAATCCAAATTAAAAGAGAAATGTTTAAAACAAATTTGCAGCTCAATATGTAAACATATAAAGTAAAAATTAATATGGCTTTTCAAAAAGCTTTAAAAGTCAATGGTAAAAGATTTAAAGCAAATGCAAATTTTTTCTGATTTTTGGTTGTTATGACTAAAGAACTAGTTTCGAATTGTACACAAAAGACCGAGTTACAGGGAACTTACTTTTGATTTTCGGTTGCTGTTAAGTGATAGACTCTGAGATTACGACTTTGGAGACATTGCTGATCATTGCTTAGTCTAAAGATAAACGCTAATAGGCAACTGTTGCACACATTGGAGACTATGCTTGATGGAGAAAATTGGTCAACATGCTGTGTAGTAGACATGCTTACGAATTATAGGAAACTTGGCTGGTAGAAAACCTTAACGAACTCTACGCGTAGTTATCAAAAGACTTAACATTTCTTAAAAGGCTTCTCTTTTCTTTCCTTCCTGTCTTATGCACTAGTGTGGCTCACAAAAATATACTCCTCTTCTGGTTTTTCGTAAAATTACAAATCGCTCAAATTCTGTTTAACCTTTTTCTTCGTGTATATCATACAAATTTTTATCATGATTGAAGACATTTTTCAAGCCTTCAATTTTAAACTAATTTAAATTCGTTAAATGTTTTGTTTTACTCATATTTAGCTTCGCATTCCCAAGTTGTCAAAAAAATCACATTTGACCAAACATTTTGCTGCTGAGATATGCCTGATATTGACCCTGATTGTGGGAAAGTGGGTTTTTAATTTTGAACGGTTCGAGTTCGGGGCATTTTTTGATTGATTAAAATGGTGTTGTGATTCGCTTATAAAAGTTTTTGTAGTTTGCCAGCCGTTTGTTAAGATCACAATTGTGCTAAGAAATACTATATCACAATTTAATTATTTACATTGTTATTATTTGTATTCTTTCTTACACATCTCTCTCTCTATATTTCTCCTCTATCATTCTTAGGTGGGGGCGGGCAGTAAGTAATACGGCCCAGAAACTTTATTTTTTTATCATTTTATTCTCGCCCTTGTTGTTTTTATTTTCTTGGCAAAAAGTCAACGATGGACTTTGAAATTTGAGCACAACAATCTGCACTCGGGGCGTGTTAAAGCTACGCTTTAGTTAAGTTAGATTTAGTTTGTTGGTTTTCTCTAAAAATACGTTCAAACGGCGAGCACTCGGCTCGAAGTAGGCTTGGTTAACTTGGCTCACAATAAACACTTTTTAGCTTATACAGGCAGGATTCTAACATAATTATACTGCTCAATCTGTTCGTTATCATCTGTTGTTGGATCTTAAAGTCGAACAGCGATTGTAGTGTTTTTTTTACAAAATATTACTTTACATGTGCTGAGCGGAAGACTCTCGTTTTTGTTTCTTTTCTTTTCTTCTTCTTTTTTTTTGGTATGAAAATCTTGTTCGTTTTTCTTTTGTATTAAAAATGTCTTATACAATTGATCGCATTCAATTTTTGAGTTTGAGTGTGCTAGCAGTTCCCTAACGTAGAATATTTGTTGTGTGGAAAAGTTGAATCTCCAGTTTAGAGATCGGGAAACTTTACTCGTATACATAGTCTCCAAAGCCTAGGACTAGACATGATTAGTTGTCTAAATGTTGGTAGTTGTAGTGTTAGTTTTATAACAAATGAACTTGTTAAATGCAATTGGCATGCTTTCATATTCCTGCAAGTCTCCAAAGTTTTTGTTCCCCTTAGCGCGAGTTGATAAACTCCACAGAGTTTGCTTGTCATACTATTCGGTGTTCCCGGTAACTTGGTCTTTTGCTGGGAAATGCATCAATTGAGAATTTCGAAAGAAAGTTTTTGACTCGAAAGAAAAGTTTAGCAAAACACATTTGCTATGAAGTTCTTGGTAAAAGAGAAATTCGTCCACGAATTAAAATTTGGCGTAAAGTCAACGCCCAGCTGCTGCTGCTGTTGTTGTTGTTGTTGATTTTGCAACTGCTGCTGTGGTTGCTGCGATTGTGCTCGCTTCAGAATCCTCAAATTTGTGCCCGAAGCCATGCGCTGCAGCTTGTGCATATCCTGAGCATCGGGAGCTGATAATGTTGCTCCTCCTACGTCACTGCCTGCTCCAAAGTTAAGCGACACCGAAGCTGGTCGTGGTCGTTGTTGTTGCTGCTGCTGCTGCTGTGGTTGCTGCTCGTTCTTTGGTGACTTTTGAGCTGCTGCCGCTGCCGATAGCATGGCTATCAAATCCATGCCCGTTGTGGGCTGTTGTTGTCCCAGGATCTTGACTGGGTGCTGTGGATTAAACTGCTTATCACTCTGAGACTTGGTGCGCATACGCTGTTGCTGCTGTTGTTGCTGTTGCTTCTGCGCCTTAGCTGCCTTAAGTTGTTGCTGCTTCTCCTTGCGTATTAAATCAAAGGAGCTGACAATCTGCTGAAGAATGAGGGTTTGTTATATCTAAAAAATTTATAAAACTCTATTAGTTCTTACCTTATCATTACTTGCCGATTGCTGTGCATCGTTCTGACTTTGGCTATGGAAAAGCTGACGCTTTGAGGATATTGTGCCGCCTCCAACGGCTCCGTTTGACGATGCCACTGCTGTTACTGTTGTTAGTGGTGTTGTCTGATTGCTGCCCGCAGCTGCGTTTTGTTTATTGCGTTTCCCATTGCTATTGCAGATGTTCATCGAATTGATGGCAGCGGTGGCGGATGCGGGAGCTGCTAGTCCCACTCCCTGTCCAGCAGCAGGCACCTTGCCATTGAGATTATTCAGCTTGACACCATCCAAATCCCCCATGGACTTGTGTCTCTGGCGACGTGACTCATTTCGAACTCCTGCAGCGGCATCCTTCTTGCAATTCCCGTTAAAATTTGTCGGCGAGGCCGCTTTCGGCGATTGCTGGCCAGAGCATTTGCGGCGACGAGGTTCAATACCAGCCTTCCTATCATTCACCCATTTCTTCAAACGCTTAACAAACGGTATGATCATGAAGAAGGAGTTGGAGTTCTTGCCCAACTTGGCCTTCGATATGGCATCGTTCTTGTTCACCGGCAACGCATCGATGCGAAACCAATCGCAACACTTGATCTCGTTGCGGGTGCGGGGTGCGAACTGTGTATCCATCGGTATGTTTCGCACCACGTACAGCCGCGTGTACTGATAGTTGATGAAAGCCTCAATGTAGTCGTTGGCATCAATGGTGTCCGTGATATCAAACCCGGTCTCTTCATAAACCTGCAACAGCCAAGAAGTTCAGTTAAAGCATTATTAATCCTTACTATAATAAATAGTAATACGCAATCATTTTTTTCCCGACTTGCCTCTCTCGTGGCGCAATGAGCTGGATCCTCGTTCTCGTTGATCTTTCCCTTGGGAAATCCCCAGGAGTTGCGGGCGAAGTAAGACTGCACTAGCAAGCAATGATTATTATCCTCTGACACCAGAATAGCTCCATATGTGGGCACCGAGAGCTTATAGTTCTTCCAATCGTCCAGGATTTCATCAACGGTGCCAAAGTGTTTGTTCAGAAAGGGAATGTGCTAATAGGAAAACCATCAGTTAGATTTTATTTAAAAAAAAAAATAAAAAACAATAAATGAAAACTAACTTGGAACAATTGCATGGCAAATTGCTTGATGCCCACTGTTGGAAGCTTTCGCTGGACACACTTCGGGGTCTCACCATCCTCGCCAGTTTCGGGGGCACAAAAGAAATCCAAATAGAACCAGTGGGCCAACTCGATTTGGAAACACATTCGTATTAGATTATTTAGCTCCATGTCCGGTACATTGATTATAAACCGACTGGCCAGATCATCAAGTATATCGGACGGAATTTTCGATTTCTCTGGCAATTTAATGCTGGACGCCTTTGTGGTGTTTGTTCTTGGTGCTACTAATGTAGCAGATGCCGATTTTGCCAATGTTGAAGATGTGCCTGGAGCATCCTCCGAAGATGAGCTGCCGTAGGAGGAATTCGTTGATGTTGATGAGTGGGTCGATGATATGGATGAGTTGAGGCGTTGCTTCTGTGTGCCACATTGCTGTTGCTGTTGTTGTTGTTGTGCATATTGATGTTGCTGCGTCTGCTTCTTCCTCTCGATGGCAATGGGCGCTGTGGGCGTGACGGTTTTGGTGAAAACAGCTCCATTTTTAAGCAATTGGTTTAATACATCATTCTCGCTCTTAATATCGAGGTTTCGTCGTTGTGGTTGCTCTTGTTTTTGTTGCTCGAGCGGTTTGATATCGCTGCTGCTGCTGCTGTGGTTTTTGTTATTGCTATGGTTGTTATTGTTATTGTTGATATTTAGCACTGTTTGTAACATCAGCGAACCGAGCAGATCCAGCTTGTCGACTTGAAGTAAAAAAAAAGCAAACACAATTTTGAGATAAGCACACGAGACCAAGAAACTGATAGTGAAAAATAATAATCAAAACAACCTGAGATAATGGAACTACAAAAACAACTTAAAGATATCTAATTCTCGTATGATTTTTGGATTTCACTTTTTATGTGACCCTGAGTGGTGTCAAAGTCACTTAGGTAGTTTCAGCTGACTATAGACTTTTATTTATGGTAATAATGGATTAAAAAATTAGAACTTTATAGATTTTGTACACTATATTATTATATAATTTCTTATTTTAGAGTTTATCCTTAACACATTACACACTACGAATAAAGTTTAGTGGAGTATTTAATCTTTATATTTAGCTTCAGTAAATCTATTTTTTAAGTTTCATGTCTGTATCTTTGTCTACACTACTTTAAAGTTTGTCCTTAAAAGGTAAAACTAAATTGGTTTGATAAACAGCAACTGTAAGTACCTAAAAATAACCTTCTTCGACTATTGGTTGCCAAGCTGTCTAGGAATTTGAGGCAAATGCTATTGTAGCACCTTGAGGAACTGCTGAGTAATGGCAATCGCCTGGCCAATGATCTATCTGCGCTGCCAATTGCGCAACAACAAAACAGTGAGACAAAAGGCAGAAATACTACTATTACTATGCTATTGCTATTGCTATCGCTATCCGTTGTACTCCGTTCGCCTGGCCTCTAAAAAAAAAAACAATTGAAAACAGAAAAAAACACTCGGCGCAGCGCAGTTCAGCGACCTCCGTTGAAAAGTGTTGCAACATGCACATGGACACTCGGTTGTGTGGGTGTGACTATTTGTGCAATGTGTGCTACAGTCTTACCATTATAAAGTAAACTATTAGTTACATAGAAATATTCGATTTTATATAAGAAGGTTAGTTTCAGATAAGGTTTTTTATAAAATCTAAAGGTAGTTTTTTTGGTATCTTTAAGAAGTAAGCCCTATTATAAATACAAATAGCGCCTTGGAAAAGGTGTACTGTTTTAAGTTACTGATTATAAGATACATAACAGTATATACATAAAATAATATTAAGTAAGGCTTTACTCACAATCTATAACATCTTTTTCCGTGCTTTTGACGCGCCTGACTTTATAGCTGGCCGAGGAAGAGGCACGGGAGGAGTCAGCGATGGTGGCAGAGGCTGTGACGGCAGCGACGGCGTTATTGATCAGTGGTGCAATTTCCATAATATAATTCGATATATACGCTGTTTGTTTATGTAATTCACTTTATTGGTTTTCTTTATTTCGTGTTTGTCTTTTTCGCAAAATATTTTTGTTTGTTTGTTAAATCACATTCGCGTCTCTCGTTCTCTCTTTTCTTCGTCCTCTCTTTTTTGTCAGTACGCTGATGTATGCGTGCGAGAGTGTGTATGTGGGTGTACGACTATGTGTTTATGTTTGGGTTTTCGTGTGTGTGTGAGTAAGCGTTTTGTCACGTATTTTTACAACGGCGTTGTTTTTGTAGTAAATATGGCTGCCAAGTTTCGAAAATTTCTGCAATCGTTCGCTTTTGTCGCACAAATTTTAATTTCCAATGCAATTGCTGTACTTGTACTCTAAATAATATATCGATTGCATTACATACTAATGCTTTCGCTATTGTTCTCTCGCTTTTCGTTCTCTTTTCCTTAACTTTTTTTGCATTTGCGTTTGTTGTTTCTATTGCTATTTCTGTTGATTTTTTTGTTGCTTCGTCGTTTTTATTGTGGTTGTTGTTGTACCACTCCATCCACAAAATAATTGAGTGCGCTCCACTTTTGTGGGAAGGAGACGGAGAACTCTTTACACACACACAGTCTCACGTTTTTTTTCGTTTTCTTTTCTAGCCTTATTCACGTACTTTCCACTTTCCAATCTCGAATCAGTCGCAATTAACAATATATTTACACGTTGCACTTATATTTATTTACTATTTTGCACTATATTATGGGCTTTTCAACTTCTTGAAAATTGCCTTCCTCGTCGCGTCGCGTATAGAAATTGTGTGGCCACCATTGGAATAATACTATCTGGTTATTTCGGAAAATACCAAAATATACTGTAGTATTTTTTAAATATACTCTTTAGTTAACAAGAAACCAGGGAGCCTAAATACAGTGGTCTCTAAAGAAGTCAACATACTTATGTATAAAACTTTAAAAAAATTTCTTCGTCAAACTATTTAAAAATGTGATTAATTAATTATTACAATTACAATTAATCTAAAATATTTTCATTAAATATATTTTCTATGTTATATTTCTTAAATCAAACACTTCAGATTATTTACATAGTTGGTACAATAAAATTTGAAATAACCTTAGATATGCAACACAATTTGAATGTATTTGTAAAAATTTTGCATTTATATTAAAATAAACATATAAAACAAATATTCATATTCGACAATTAAGAAGCGTGGCTAGATGTAACGATTTTAAGAATACCGTATTTGCTGTTAACTAACATATTTTCAGTATATCTTCTCATAAATCCGCTATATGTTTTGACGGTACAGAGATGGTCACGCTGAATACCTTCGTACCGTACCAATCGTGTGTTTCGACTTTTCCAGGCCCAAAAAAAACGATTTTTCCCTGCTGAAAAGTGCACTTTGCGCAAGGAAAATCTTCGATGTGGTTGTTTTAAACCAGCAAGATTGCATTTTCGAAATTTTCCGCCTGCAGCTGGCCCTGGACGTGCTTTGTATCCGTGGAGAACAGAGACGCAAAGGTTGGGACACCTACATACATGTACATCAACATCTAAACCAACATCGACCGCGTGTGTGTGTGTGTGTGTGATGTAAGGTGGACCAGGTTGCTTACAAAATAAAAGTGGCCCAAGTAGGTGGTGTCAAATCTAAACAGAATAGAAAAAAAAGTTGTAATACACTAATTAATTGTAATAATTCTGTATTATATTGTATAAAACTGGAGATTTAAAGCACATAAAGTTCTTAGCTTGCTAAGTATTTATACTTTTCAAATTGTAAATGTAAATTCGGAATGAGTTTACCTTTACTAAGTCAAATATCCAGTTTGATAACTTCAAAATATTTCTGAATACCGGGTGGTCCACCTTAGTATCCATGGATCCAAGATTGTGCATCTGTGTGCGTGTTACATAGCCTGTCTGTGTGTGGGCGGTGCAAAAGTTGGTGGAGGAAAAGGGAAATAAATCAGAATCACCTCCTTCAGTAACGAAAAAGTGGATTTTATATATGCTGAAATCAACAAAAGGCAGAATTAGTGATGATTTGTGAACATTTTAATTGACAAACAGAAACAAAGTTCCCAAAAAAGTAGGTTTCGTTCCATAACAACGCGTGGTACAAAAGTTCCTTGAAGAAAGATAAATCCAATTGGAATTGCCTCATTTTTAAATTACTTAATTAAACCAATGCTCATATCTATAAGCTTTGACAAATATGTATATGTAGCACCTTGGGGTTAAAGTAATCTAATCAATCAGAACTTAATTTTTATAGTTCTTCCAAACGGAATTGTGATCCATTATTAAATATTTTCGACTCCGTCTACGATTCACTGTCTTTGTGGTATAATTATTTATGTTATAAGTTTTAACCTATCACTAAAAGTGAACTAATGGTTTTACTTCCTTCTGACGAACAGATAGACGCCGTGTGGGGTTGGGTTGCTTCCGGCCCGCTGCGCTTAGCAGCGAACAGAATGGGCGACTTGCCGGGCTCGGGCTCCACCGCTCAACCACGGGATGCTGGTAAGTATTATTATAGTATTTTTTCCACTGTTTGCACATCTAAATATTTGAAGTAAAAATCGTTGGGTTTTTATATTCTTTTTACATTTTCTCGTATTTTTAAATTTTATACAAATTATCACTTCTAGCCCTTAAATATATTTCAAAAATAATAAAATTTCGTTTTAATTTTTTCTTCTAATAGCTGTCACCGGAACAGGTGGTAACTCCACGGCTGGTGGCGGCTCCTCCGTTGGATCAACGGCAGTGGACCGACCTCCGTCGCCCGCCCGACTCTCTCACACGTCCGAGAAACATCCGAAGGTCACGCTTACGGAACTCAATATGCTGCGACGGCATCGGGAGCTCTGCGATGTGGTCCTGAATGTGGGCGGACGTAAGATCTTTGCCCACCGGGTCATTCTATCCGCCTGCAGCTCCTATTTCTGTGCCATGTTTACCGGTGAACTGGAGGAATCGCGCCAGACAGAGGTCACCATACGCGACATCGACGAGAACGCCATGGAGCTGCTCATTGATTTTTGCTATACCGCCCACATTATCGTTGAGGAGTCCAATGTCCAGACACTCCTTCCCGCCGCCTGTCTACTGCAACTTGTTGAGATACAGGACATCTGCTGTGAGTTCCTTAAGCGGCAATTGGACCCCACTAACTGCTTGGGTATCAGAGCCTTCGCTGACACACACTCCTGCCGGGAACTGCTTAGGATCGCCGACAAGTTTACGCAACATAACTTCCAGGAGGTAATGGAGAGCGAGGAGTTTTTGCTGCTGCCTGTCGGCCAGCTGGTGGATATAATTTGCAGTGACGAGCTGAACGTGCGCTCCGAGGAGCAGGTCTTCAACGCGGTCATGTCCTGGCTCAAATACAATGTCGCCGAGCGCAGACAGCACCTGGCGCAGGTGAGCTACTCTTGAATCGTAGTCCCAAACATTTAATTTGCTTACAAAATATTTATTTTTTATTTAGTTTAGTTAAGTATCTAACAAGTAAATAAAACACTAATGCTTTCTTTTAGGTTCTCCAACACGTCCGTCTGCCTCTACTCTCTCCCAAGTTCCTGGTTGGCACAGTGGGCTCTGATCTCCTAGTGCGCAGCGACGAGGCCTGCCGAGATCTAGTGGACGAGGCTAAGAACTATCTGTTGCTCCCACAGGAGCGACCCCTAATGCAGGGTCCGCGCACAAGGCCTCGCAAACCGACTCGACGAGGTGAAGTACTTTTCGCAGTGGGCGGTTGGTGTTCTGGCGATGCAATTGCCTCCGTAGAGCGTTTTGATCCACAGACTAACGACTGGAAAATGGTTGCCCCAATGAGCAAACGCCGCTGTGGAGTTGGCGTGGCCGTATTGAATGATCTGCTATATGCTGTGGGCGGTCACGATGGACAGAGCTATTTAAATAGCATCGAGCGTTATGATCCGCAAACGAATCAATGGTCGTGCGACGTGGCGCCCACCACTTCATGCCGTACAAGCGTTGGTGTGGCTGTCCTTGACGGATTCCTTTATGCGGTGGGTGGACAAGATGGCGTTCAGTGTTTGAATCACGTTGAGCGCTATGATCCCAAGGAAAACAAGTGGTCCAAGGTGGCCCCGATGACCACACGACGGCTGGGTGTGGCGGTAGCTGTCCTTGGAGGATTCCTCTATGCGATTGGTGGCTCCGATGGACAGTGCCCGTTGAACACTGTGGAGCGATATGATCCCAGGTAAATAAAAAAAATATATCTTCGTAATTTTTTCAAAATAAATATGAGCTATTTTAGCAGCAAGACCCTTTGAATGTAAAAATACATTTTCCAAAAATAGTACTAGTTGCCCCAGATTATTGTAAAGGGCTAACTTCATGTTGTTTCACCAAAACCTGTTTCTTGAATTGATTTAAAATTTATTATTTTATTTTATAATTTATAGACATAACAAATGGGTGGCCGTCAGCCCGATGTCGACGCGACGCAAGCATCTGGGCTGTGCCGTTTTTAACAACTACATTTACGCCGTCGGCGGGCGGGACGATTGCATGGAACTCTCGTCCGCCGAGCGCTACAATCCACTGACCAACACCTGGAGCCCCATCGTGGCCATGACCTCGCGTCGAAGTGGGGTGAGTTTATTTTTACACCCCCTTTGCATTACTGAATGATATTTAAATAAATGAAATGTGGTTTTAGGTTGGCCTGGCTGTGGTAAATGGACAGCTGTATGCGGTGGGAGGCTTTGATGGCTCCGCCTATTTAAAAACCATCGAGGTCTACGACCCAGAGACGAACCAATGGCGTTTATGCGGTTGCATGAACTACCGCCGACTGGGCGGCGGTGTGGGCGTGATGCGTGCCCCTCAGACTGAGAACTATATGTGGTGCGAAAATAGTTTTAAGCAACAAAATCCATGAAACTATTCCTATCCCTTGCATTGCTGATGAAATGTTTGCTTGTTTCTTTTTCCCCACATCAAAACATGCTAACCGATTCAGGATACGGAAAGATTCTGTTGTCTGATGGGAGCAGCAGCCGACGACGTTGCCCTCGCAAACGTTGCCGCCGCCGCATTTCTACTAACAATATCCGCAATCGAAGCCAAATCTAATCGACTAAACACACCTTTCCTCCACCCCATTGTCTAGCAGTATAATCGCATTGTATTAATTGTTAATTGTTTATTTGGTAGAGCCTAAAGCGAGTGTTTGTTAGACTTTCCCAGACTAGTATTAGAGTTAGCATTGCCCTTTCTTTTCCACGAAACACCTGCAATCACTCATCCCCATCACTTTGTACGTAAATATATATGATTCTATTGTATTTTAAGCAAGTATATTTTATAAAAACCTAATATCTTAATGTTGCTGGTGGAATTTCATGGAAATCGCTAGCTCATAACCATGCCTTCTTTCAAAAAAAAAAAACAAAACAGAAACGGAATCAAATATTAAACTAGAAACGAATTCGATTAGTTGTAACTCTTTAAACTATGAGCTCGAAAGTCAAGTAACAAATTGGTATTAACATAATCTAGCCTTAAGAAAAGAATTCAAGAAAGTTTGTCCGAAATAAGACATCACAATGGTGCAATATTTCGATCGACCAACTTAAAGCTGTATTAGTTTTTAGTCCAAATTCACTTCAAATCAATCATTGCAAAACGTCTTCAATTATCATATAAAAAATATCAACTGAACTTAATAATTCAAAAGTTTATAACGAATGAATGTTCAGCTTGCCAAGCTAAAAAAAAACCATGAAGATGAATACAATGAAAAAAGTTAGACCTATCCCAAATAAGAAAAAAAGAAATAGTAAAATTAACAATTACCATTACACAGCCGTAAGATCAACTTTAAGCTCGTAAATTTTAATATTGTTACTCCTAGATCGTAAGCCAGTGAAAACTTTCAGCTGGAAATAGGTCACGTTTTAAATATAATTATTGTTAAACAAAGTTTGACCATCGAGCTGAGAAACCAACTCGAAATAGATAAGAGAGCCAAAACCAAACGAGTCTCTCGATAACAATTTATTTGTTTGTTGCCTTTTTACACCAACACCTATTAAACAATTATTTATTTTCAAAATTATTATTTATTATACACTTTTGAATCTCATTTAGTTTATTTCTAATGTCATTATTTTACACTGTTGTTGAATCGAGCAAATGGGAATGAACTTTGCTTCCAAATGATAAATAAGAATAGCATTTACAAAACAAAAACCAAGCTTATTTATATTATAGGTTTAAGTTAATGGCGAACACACATACAAATATTCGCATACGACACTCTATACACAATAACAATAACAATTTATAGTTATTTTGTGTCGAAACGTGCTTAAATAATAGAAAGTGTTAACCTTAAAATGTATCGTAAACCCGTGCTAAGTGTAAGGATATATGATAATAAAATAGATCGAAATTAAGATACAAATGAGTTTTATATATATTTAAAAAAAATAGTCGAGCTCCCGACTATTTTTTTGTTATCTAAATCTCTGCATTTTTACGGACAGACGAATATGGCTAAATGATTAAACTCTATGCTAATCAAGAGTTTAGATTCCAAATAAATAAATAAATGAGTTTCCCTTAAGAATTGTTTTTAACAAAATCATCGTTTAACAAAAATCATTGTATAATCTTGTTGAGTGTTTTCTTTATTGTAATTATTAATTGTGGGTTCGGAGGTGTACCTTAAGACTATTAGACTGCGTGAAACCCTTTGAGCAGAAGGAACACTTGTACGGTCTTTCTCCTGTGTGTGTACGTACGTGTATCTGCAAGGATGAAGTTGTTGAAAAAGCCTTCGAACAGTGGTTACACTTAAACGGTAGTTCTCCTGTGTGTGTTCTTGTGTGTACGTTAAGACTTGTAGTTTGCGTGAAACTCTTTTTGCAGAAGGAGCATTTGTATGGTTTTTCTCCAGTGTGTGTTCGTATGTGTACCTGCACGGATGAAGCTGTTGCAAATGCCTTTGGGCAGTGGGTACACTTAAATGATTTTTCTCCTGTGTGTGTTCGCAAGTGTACATTCAGGCTTACACACTGCGTAAAACTTTTTGAGCAGATAGAACATTTAAACGGTCTTTCTCCCGTGTGTGAACGAGTGTGTACCTGCAGGGTTGACTTTGATGTAAATGACTTGGAGCAATGGGAACACTTAAATGGCCGTTGTTCTTTGTGAGTTTGTTTCTGTAACTTAAGATCCCTAACCTGCGTATGCAGTCTTTTCTCATTATGCTCACGCAGGTGTATCTTCAGAGTTAAGTTTCTTGTAAAAGTCTCTGAACAGTAAGTACACTTAAGCAGTCTTTCTCGTGTGAGGTTTCTCAAATCATACCCAAGATTATTGTTCGGTACATAATTAGTTACATCTTGAAGTTTTTCTTCGTGGATTTCTGAGTGTTTTTGAAGAGTTGCATCATTGACAAAACTTTTTGCACAGACCGAACATTTAAACAGATCGGGGCTTGTGTGAGTTTTTAAGTGTCGAACAAGGCCTGCATTTTTTGAAAAAATCTTTGAGCAGTGGCAACACTTGAATTTTTTTCGTTTATCTTTTGATTTTGATGGTAATGTCTTTGGGCAATAGGAAATTTTATTAGAAAGTTTGACATTATCATTGGTGTTAATAACTTCCCCTCCCAATCCATTTTCCAAGTTATTATCTAAATGAACTTGACACTCGAACTCCTCAGTCTTGCACTCCGAAAAGGGATAGTCTTCTTCCATTATGTCTTCTGTAAGTGGTTCGTTTTTCACTTGGCATTGGTCTCCAAATTGTTCGTCCCACCCTTGCAAAAGGTGAAGGTTTACTTCTTCCTTAATATGGCCAACAACTTTATAAGGTCCCCTATCAAATTCAGATCCGGTTAACATCTGCCCCTGGGGGTCCTTGCCAGTCCTTAACTGACTGAAGAGCAGGGTGCTTCTCTCGTAAATATGTTTTATCTCGAACGCGTCTTCAGCATCCTTCAGGCAGCATATGCAAATGGAATCTGGATATAGATCTCCTTCTTTAAGTTTAAATCCAGTGCACTCAGAAATCATTATCGCAATGGAAACTCCTACGGAACTCATTCCTTCAAAAATATTGATATTGCCGCAGCTTGCCAAGCAAACACGGCAAACTGGCTCCATTGCTCTGGATTTAATTCAATAAAAATTATGTATGTATATCAAACATAATTGAGTTTATTTTCTTACAGTTGTAATTGTCAAATATTAGGCTAGACTGAGTTCTAAAATAGATGTTTGTTTACTTTATTCTATAAAATGTTATTAAAGATGTGCAAAGCAAAGGATACTATCGGTATCGGTGACGAGTTCACAGTTCCGGAATATTTTTTTGACGAAAAGAATTTGTAAAAATAAAAATTTTTAAGGCTACGTTTTTTATTATTCACGAACATCTTCGTTTTAAATTTAATATATAAAATTATTTAATTAACCAATTAACATAATGGTTTTAAGTTTTAACTAAAGAGTTGATATCCAATTTAAGTTCTTATATTTTGTATTTAATGTTGAAATGTTTCCTTAATTTTATCTCTGAAGTACTAAATATATAAAATTTAAAGTATACATTCAAAAGTACAATCAATTTAAATTTGAAAAAAGACCGGCACAATAAATATCAAATGGAATGACAATCGATAGTTGCCCAGCTTTGGTGCGTACACTATGTTATTTTTTCGATTTGGAATGCGTTGCTAGCGACAGTTTCATTCAAGGACTTTATGTGTATCAAATCGTTAAATTGGAATGTAAAGTACTTCTTCTGTAGATTTCAACATCTTGCCGATTTTGAAACAGAGCCATCTGTCATTTCAAATCTATCGATAACTTAAGAATACTCCCGATTAACACTTGCCGCTCAGCTGTTTATCCTGGCGCTCTTTCCCATTTATATAGGTCTTAAAAAATGTCCCAAGTCCCTAATTTAGCCTTGACCGGCGCTAGTGTGCAGCTAAAACGGAAGATCTTGAGCGCAGGGGAATATAACCGGATCTGCCAGTTTATAAACGGCTACCACGGATTGGCTATCGACTGTGAATTCGAGTTGAGAACGCGCTTCTTCCCGGACGTGGAGCCTATGGCCTTATCTTGCATCCTGCAATCGGAGCTGTTCATCAAGTCCCGGGGTAATCACTGGAAGCAGGACCAGCGTGGCAAGAAGCTTCTCAAAATGTAAGATGCTGTTTGGTATTGAGTACATCATACATAAGTTTACTTTAATACAAATAATTTCTTACCAATAGCTACGAGGACCAGAAAAACCTTTACGACAACGCCCTGCTAATCCGTATGGCCTGCGTTGAATGCCTAAATCCAGTAGCTCTCTGCAGAATGCTGTTGCAGGAAAAGTACAAACTGCGCCACCGTTCGCACATCTCACGTTATCTAAAACATCCGCATCTTATCGACGATTCCCGGTTGGCGGCAAATGTTCAGCAGTGTATGATCAGCGACAATCAAGAGGGTTCCATTACTGATCTACGGCGACGGATAATTGGCGAAGAATATGAACTAAAGCTCAAAACGCTGGCCAAAGAGGCGGGGATCCATTTCTACGACGAGCAGGATTTGAGGCGAATGGGTTATGATAAGACGCCGGACATCAAAATGATCCTGCCATTCCTTTTTAAGGGTTCAGTGATCAACTGGATCGAGAGCAAGGCCAATTTCGGGGACACCAAGGGACACAAGTTCAACATCCAACAGCAGCTTCATAGCTACTGCAATCGGTAAGTATTTTTATCTTCGGATTTGTCTATACAATATTTAAGCGTCTGTTACAATATAAATATATAATCAAAATATTTTTGTATGATATTGTTAGGTTTGGGCCTGGTATTATAATCTATTGGTTTGGCTACCACGAAGACACGATTCTGCTGCCGGACAATAATATTGGAATTACTGTACTCGCTGATTTTCCCCGAAAAGAAGATTTGGTTTTCATGCAGCTCGCGCAAGAAGAGTGTCCATCTGAAACTCCAGGCATAGAAGAAACCAGTTCTGTTAGTAAACTTTTAGAAGAATCTAAAGAAGTACAAAGTCCAGCCAAAGAATTAATCAAACCATTATGAAAGTTTATATGTTTCAGAGAAATAGAAAGCACAGGTAATGTCATTTCGTATGTTATAATTTTTTTTTTTTACCAACTGGACGATATGTGTTTGTCTGATCAATGATAATTAGAATACATTTACGAATATAGCCCGAAAGCAATCAAATTATAATTTAGACCACTATATTATTATATCACTACGTATCTAAGGACAGTAATGCTTTGCATTTAAACTCTAGCGATAAGACAATGCTGATGCAGCAAAACCATTTCTCTTTTAGATTTAACAATATTTCTCATTTTATTGTATTTAAAAATTCCGTTTTACATGATTTATCCAAATGTTTATAGTACAAAAAGGTTTACTTTACTTACATTTTTGGCATAAATCGCATATAAAACTTGTAATAAATATTGTAATAATCGTTATATTCATAAACAAACTTAAAAACGGATCACTAGTAATTATCGTGACTCAAATTTCTTGTCTTTCCGCGCTAATAAAAATCAAAACAAACGTATTATTTTTACTTTGTGGTAGGTGGCATTGTATTGTACCCATTAAGTCATGTGTTATTTTCAATGTATTAACAAAAAGTCAGCAGTGTTTATAAAAATTCAGCTGGGCCCTTTGCGATGGAAACTATCTTTTAACTTGCATCATCCCTCTAGGCTTCACCCTAATAGTGGCTTTGTTATTCGGGCCGATATAAAGTTATTGTTGAAAAGATTTCGTACTGGTAGGCATTTCGTCGATCTCGTTAAGCTTGATATATGTATATATTCACACAGAAAAATCGGACATCAGACTTCCTTTAGCTCCTCGGGCATGTCGTTCTTGGGATGCTTGTTCTCAAAATGCTGCTTGTAAGTCTTGGGATCAGGCATTTGCGACTGAAATGAAGAAAACACTCTATTAGATTTTCAATAAAAAAAAATAAATACATTTGGGTAATACTATTATTACTTCAATATTAAATTCTAGATAAAATAGTATTGCATTTTATAAAGTTGGAAATATATTCCGTGTTCTACTGTAAATCGCTCACCTTGCAGACGGCGCACACATAGACAAGTGCCTTCTGAGCCGCCTTTTTCTGATCGTTGGCACTGTGGCCCTGCTGCTTCTTCAGTTTCGCCTGTTTCTCGGAGGCCTTCGCCTGCGACTGGATCTTCTGGTGTCCGCGTGCCATTTCTTTCTGTAAAAAGTGCAATTAAATATTTATTACAAGTGTTTAGCTAAAATGTCATCAATCATCATAAACGGGATTTGAAACAAAAACGGTAGAGGCGCAGTTACTTTCACTTTTTCTTCCACCCACTTATCTATGCACACAAGACTTGGAAGATTATATGAACAGGAAATGATTTCCCTCATCTCTATATTTCCATCGATAAGATATTATTTATACTTAAGACAAACCTGACACGGCACTGTGCTCCAACAACAACAAATTACCCTTGTGATAGAAAATGTGAATTTGGGACCACGTTCTGCATTCATATTAACTTACCTAATTAACCTGATTATATTTGATCGTCTTTACTAAGTACTGGTGATGTAGCCTTTGGAGTATGTCAAATTCGTTGCGAAGAATCTGTGCTGAATTGGTACCCGAAATTATTGACAATTTTCTTTGGAATTTTATTAATTTGTTGAGGTTTGTTTCGCAGCCTGGTAGAATGAGACCAGATGGAATATGGAAAGTAATCCCAAATGCACCGCAAAACTATTGATGCCATGGGGATGTAGATATTTCATTCACTTTATTTAGGACTCAAACCATTTTCGTTAATGTTATCAAATCAGAATGTATTTTTTGTTAGGTAAAAAATTCAAAAAAGTATATCCTAGAAGCTATTCAAAATGTAAATACGTTATTTTAGGTTTTGATAAATATTACAATCCATAGTAATAACATATTATATTAAGTAGTTTACATTATAAAATTAATATAAAAGATATTTTGATTTGGTTTCTTAAGTTAGGAATAATGCCACAAAAAAACTATTTTACTTTACTATATTTATTTATTTTTTATTTATAAATTGTCATTTACATTTACACAAGTTTTTATAGTACAAAAAGATTGGTTTTCCTTCGTGTTTGACATAATTCGTATAAAATTCTTCGTTGTAAAACAAATATAAAACTTAGCACAGAGTATTAATTCTAGCTAAAATATCTTTCTGATTTTTAAGGATAAATAGCATAAAGAAAACATTCCTTTTTATCTTGCTAAGTGTTAGTTCCTGTGTATTGCGGTTGCCATTCATTAAAAAATTGCATTCTGTGTTAATTTAAATGTAAAAACTAATCCAAAAAGCCGGGCATTGTGTATACAAAAAATTGGCAAATATATTTATTATTACTATTATCCATCCTCTTGGCTTCGGCTTGATTGTTGGATTCTCCTTCGGGCTGATGTAAAGTTATTGTTGCAAAGGTTTCGTACTGGTAGGCAACTCGTCCATCTCGTTAAACTACATATATATATTTATATATGCGCACGGCCGAATCGGCCATCAGACTTCCTTCAGCTCCTCGGGCATGTCGTTCTTGGGATGCTTGTTCTCGAAATGCTGCTTGTAAGTCTTGGGATCGGGCATTTGAGACTGAAATGGAGGAGATATTCGATTACATTTCAGTTAAAAATTATTATCTACAAAGAGCGATAGGTGCAAAGTCGTAACAAATCGTATTAATGAATGCAAGCAATAATTTAGTCACTTTGTTTTGTTGGTTTTGCAAAATATTCACTGTATCTAGATTACCTTGCAAACGGCGCACACATAGACGAGTGCCTTCTGAGCCGCCTTTTTCTGGTCGTTGGCACTGTGTCCCTGCTGCTTCTTGAGTTTCGCCTGTTTTTCAGAGGCCTTCGCCTGCGATTGGATCTTCTGGTGTCCGCGTGCCATTTCTTTCTGTATGTGCAATAAAAACGTTAATACAAGTGTTTAGCTAAAATGTCATCAATCATCATAAACGGGATTTGCAACAAAGACGGCAGAAGCGCAGTTACTTTCACTTTCTCTCCCACCCACCTATGTACACCTGACTTGCTAATGATGTGACCAGGAAGTGATTTTCCCGATGTTATATTGTTTATATTTAAGACAAACCTGACACGACACTGTACTGCAACAACAACAAATCACCCCCGCAAAAAAGAAAATGTGGATTTGCGAACACGTTCTGCACGCATCTTAACTTACCTAATTAACCCGATTAATTTGGATAGCCTGTACTAAATGCAGGTACTTCAGCCTTTGGAATTAAGTTAAATTCGTTGAAAGGAATCTGTTTCGAATTGGTACCCGAAATTATTGACAATTTTACTCTGAATTTTATTAGTTTGTTGAGTTTTGTTTCGCTGCTATGGTTGAATGGGACCAGATTTCCAGAACAGCTGAAATGTTCAGCGAAATTAATGGGGTTGGGGTCTTTGATAGACACTTACTTTGACTCAAACCACCTTTTAGATGTTTTTTAACGTAATCAAAAATGCCGTTATAGCAATACTGAATATCCTTACGTTACGAAACTTTTATAATTCAGGCGTTCTAGGAAATCTGTGATAAAAATGATTATAATCTTATAGTAACTAAGAATTCAAGAGAAATATTTATAACTTAAGTTCCCCTTTAAATATTTAAGGTGTTTCCAGATTAAAAATCTTATTTTATAATGTACAAAAATGTATATTTATTTTGGTAAAAAAAACTTAACAAATTACAAATGTTTACAATTATACCAACATACTGGCATTATTATCGCAAAATTCGTAAATATTATCAACAAACTGCATTTCCTGCGTATTTTTAGCAACTGGAGGGGTATTCTTAATTTCATGTGAGGGCTGTGGCATTTTTACCACGCCTCCTTTACAGACAGTATCTGCCGTTGTTTCTTCCAAAGTGAGACGTTTTAAATTATTGATCAGAGATATATCATGTTTTATCTCATTCTTTAATTCAAGAAGTTCGTGTTCCGTTTTGATAATGTCTTCAGCATAGGCTTCGATATTTTGTTGCAATTCCCCGACCGATAGCTCCATTTCCGGTCCCTTGTAACGTTCGTTTTGCAATCGGTACAGACGACACTTTTCAGAAAGCTGACGTGTCAGTGCATATTCCTTCTCATAGCGAACATTCATGTCGGCATGAAGGGATGCCAATTTATTTCGAACACTATTGCGCAATGGCTTATCCTTTCGCCTTCTTATACAATTATTATTAATATTATAATTATTATTGTTGGCCTCGCTGGGAATAGCTGTTCTGAATGTTTCTAATGAAGTTTTGGTTATCTCATGACGACTGCGCCTGCGATGTCGCTGTTTTGAGACCCGATTCTCGGCAAGTTTATAAAGCTTGGCTTTGACAGCATTATCGGTACCCCTATATAATTGATCTGGCATTAAAACCATAACCAAATCATCATGCATCAATTGCTTTTGGTTAAGCAAGCTCTTCTCCTTCAATTTGTTAGGCACTTTGGGTGGCGTTTTTGCCGGTTTCGGTAATGCCTTCTTTCCTTTCTTAAGGTGGAGTAGTTTTTTTAGCCACTTGATCATGGAAAAACTCGTGTGTGGTTGTGAAAGGGGTACTAATTGCATGGCCAGGGGATCTTTGAAGTTATCACGATGTTTTAATGATATACGGAGCTGCAATAAACAGAAAACAAATATTAGTAAGTTAAAGAATTAATATTATATATGAAAAGGTTATTACGATATTATCTGCTATTAGTGTCAGATAGAATTTGGCTTGAAAAGCCTAGCCATATTTTTAAAATAAATATTTTACTAAAACCATTCATACTCTATTCTCATTCTCAATAAAACTATTTACCCTTTATACAATTACAATACAGCAAACAATAAAGTCACCTTTTGCCCCCCAACTCTTTCTGTCCATTAACTAGATAAGATCATCAAATAACAATTAGGAGTCCGCATTCCTCGAATAACATTAATCCCATTGCTAATGGCTGGGATCATAAAAAATTTACAACATAATTAGGCCGAAACGAAAACACGAACTTTAATATAAAAATCAATAGGCAAATTGATTTCACTTGGTGCGTCATAAACAAATAAATACGAAAAGCCAGAGCATAAGTCAAATGCGAATGGTACTATATATATATGTATATAGTAGGCGCGGGTGTGACTTTGGAGTGGGCGGAAAGCCCAGGTAGAATGGGTTTCGAGAACGACATGAATTTCACATTTCTTGGCTTGCGTGTGGCGCCAGGAAAAAAGCGCTTATTATGCAATCACTGTAGACGTTTTTTTTTTTTTTTTTGGGCCCAGTTTGCTGGTGTTTCTGAGTTTTTTTTTTTTTTTTCTGCACGCCAGGTGGGATTCCCCTTGGTCCCCGGATTGTTGCCATTACCTCATTGTGTACACGGCTCCAAGCGCGCCAAACGGGCAAAATGGCCATGTTGCCATCGTAGCTCCGCTCTATGCCGCCCCAACTTTCCGTTATAATGTAATCGCCGTAGACACGCGATGCTGCCGCCGTATTCCTCTGGCCGCCATCTTGTTTTTTCAACGTCCGGAAAACAGAACGAAAATTCAATGAAATAAAATGAAACGAAACGCAAACGGGAGAAAATAAAAGTAATTGTAAATAAGCAGCATAAATAAATAAAACGCAGAGCCTTATAGTTTTATATGGAAAATAGCAGTCACGACAGGATCGGTTGGGGAAAAAAATGATTGACTTACCTTTCGGATTATTGCCGCAGTAAAGCCCATTGCCATTGCTCAGTTCGTCATCAATCAGGGCCTTGATTATGTCATCACAAGTCGTTTTGTTCGTCACTCCCGATACGTAACGCGCCTCGCCATCGTCCATCCAGATGGGAATTTCCTTGTGGCCTTGTTCCTAAAGGGTGGCCAGAAAAAAAGTGGGCAAATTTGAAGATCAATAATCAGGGTTGCCAGATGGTTAGAGGAGGATCTAGCGGGTTTCTATTGTAAATTAGTCCATGATAAAATTTCCTTGAATTACTTTCTACTTTTAACTATGAACTTACTACTATTAATATTCCTGCAGATCTACTATTATTGAACTAGTTTTCCTTAACTTTAACAAGAATCTTGAAGAAATTAACAGTTCTTTGTAATATTGGCCTTTAATCTGGATTTAAAGTTCCAATCAATACCTTAAACAACCAACGCACAATCGGAGTTTCCCATGCCCATTTAAGTACAGTGAAGTCTCCCTTTGAGGTCGCCTGTTTATGCATATGACTAACGCCTAAGCCTGCCCACCCAATTAGATGATTTGTTTGATTTCAGCGGAAAAGCTGCCGCAACCGAAAATCAGGGGCATGAGTTTAAGAGGGGTTTGCTAAGGGTAGTGTAGGGCTTTGGTTAGGAGAGGTGTTGGAGAAGGAGGAGGCACTTACCACAGTGCTATTAACGCCGTAGAGGGAAATGGAACGGTGGCGACGACTGGCCTGACCAACATTTCCGTTTTCCCTGCCGTGTTTATTTTTGCATGCTTGCCGTGTTGATGGTGCTGGCGCTTTGGAAGGCGGTGCTAATGGTGGTTCCCCCACCGATTCATCCACCACCAAACGCTCCTCGAATGCAGCCTGCTTATTATTATTATTGTTGGTGTCTTGATTTTGACATCGTCGCGGCGGTAGAATGGGGCTTTCGGGTAGATTCAAAAGCGATGGACAGCTGTCCAGATTATCATCGATGAATGTGGAGTTCTGTTGTTGCGGCGCCATATTCCTTTCTTGCACGTTTCGAAAAACTCTCTCACTAATTGGCACTGCAATGAAAATAAAAAATAAATGAAAAATAGTTAAGTATATATATACGTATAGAAAGAACATGCAATATCCTTGTTAGACATTTTGTTGGTTCAGCTCAGGGGTGTTCGCCTACGCCTAACGATCAATTTAGATTTGTTGCCCGCGATTAAATAAATTATGCAGTAGCCCTTGTCGTACAATATGTACTCTACTACGGAACATATATACTTATATATATATATATATATATATATAGTTGCACCTAGCCATAGACACGACGCAACCCCATCTGGATTCCTAGAAAATTGCCTACCAACGTCAGTTGGCGCCGGTGGCCCATTATTCAGGTACATTGCCGGCGTTTAGCCTGTCGCAACATCTACTATCCCTCATGCCCCCCCCCATGCCACATACCCATCCCCCGATCCCATTGCCCATCCAATTCCACATCGCAATCCTATGAGGCCTACTAAGCATACCATATTCCCCAGTTCAGAGGCCCACATAATTTGTTGTTCGGGGGGCGTTGTACGGACCTTGCAGTTTGTATGCAAATTCTCTTTTCCAGCCGAAAAACATTTTCCTTTCTGGTTCATTTTCTTTTTTTTTTGTTGTTGTTGTTGCTTTTTTTGCATTGCAATTGGTGGCCTGACTGACTTATGAATTAATGCTAATTTATGCCGCCGGAAAATGCAGCGAAGGAGCTCAAATTATATAGATTGGTGGCGGTTGGGGAAAAGTGTTGAAATATTTTTGGCTTTTAAATTATAGGGAGTAGGTAGGGGACTTAGAAGATTAGTTTTTTCTGCTATAAAGTTTTATAGACTTAGAATTGGTGTTAGAAAATGAATGTAAAATTAAGTTTTGAGAGCTTATATCTATTATATCTTCCATCATTGATCTTCCCTGCACTTAAAGTAATCAAATTCCGAAATGTATTTAAAAAAAAACTAATATTATGCGGCAACACCCCAAAGGACCTTATTTGTGGTCAAAACTACAATTGAAATGGAATTTACGGAAGTTTTCAGAATTCCCTCATCAAATATTTATTTGCTCTCTGGACAGGTGGCCCAGCAATGGGCCACGCCCCCCATGTCTATTAGAGAAATGAGTTATGAGTAAAGCAATTTGCAAAAGGATTTCCACCTACAGTGGGCAACCTGCAACTGCCAACTGAAAATATCCTTGACTGTGTGTTGGCTGCCTTTGATTACGCTGAACACCTGGACATGCCAACAACGTTCATTTAAAAATGTAATTTCCAATCAAGATAAGTTCAAATGTAAATTTCCATTGGCGAGGTCAATTACTGAACTCTGACCCGCCTCCCGCATTGCATTTAATTGTTTCGTGGATGGCTGGCCAACCTGTCACCCACCTTTCCCATCTTACATTTATGGCCAGGGGTTGGCTGGCCAAGTTAAAGAACTACCTCTGACCTCCCTTCGAAAGTTCAATGTCTCTAAAGTTTAGCCCAGAGTGGGCATATTATATTTTTAACTGTTTTACAATTTTAGCCCAGCCCCGAATTAATTGCTCTTCTGCAATCAATCCCCACTCAATACTTCCTTTGCGTGTTGGTTAGAAATTAATTTTGTTTGGGTACTGCGCATTGGTTTCTAAAATACAAAAAAAAGGGGAGGCCCACCAACGCATTCGTGACGTTAGCAGTTCTTTGGGGGGTTTGGTAATGGGTGGCGTATGAGTAATATTGCGATGGCTGTGATTTGATAATGTAGACAAATCAAAGTTTGAACTTCCCTGTAAGAGGAAGTTACTTTAGGAGTTGGACTAACGCTTATTTATAGATTTCTTTATTTTTAGACTTTTTTGGGCAGTTTAATTCTAAATTTGTATTCCATGGATTGTTAATCAAAGGAAATTTAAGTCTTTAATTGAAGTTTTTCTTTGATTTTTTAAATTAAACTTCTTTTTTTGTTCATTCTTTAGTTTTACTATATGCAATATTATTTTTGTAAATAAAATTAACAAATTTGGTTACATTTTTTGCTGTCTTTAAGACCATTAAGACCATTTCTAACTATTTTTATTTATTAAATATTTATTTAAGCTGATAATTATGAAGACAAAAAATATAAAAAAATTAAAATTAATAAGATTAACCTTTTAAGTTCATTTTTGGATTCAAGTTTGTTTAATTTTCAATCAAATACGCCTTTAGAGTTCCTTCTCATTCTGTACCTGCTTTTTTCTCCATTTCCAACTATAAACCTTAAGACTATCTTCTAGTTCTCTAAGAACCCTCCTTTAAGTTAAAGTTGCTTATAGCTGTAGCTTAAATTTTGGCACCCGCAGAACCACAGACTAATGAAATCAACTGTGAATTCTCCCAGTGCCAAGATTCAAAGTCAGCATGCTCTCTGGTTCCTAAAAACACAAAATTCTTAGCCAAGATCAGCTGAGATCGCTTACCTTTAGTTAGTTTCTCCAAAATGCGTTGATAATAAAAAAACACTTTTCAGTTTGATCCTTTTGGGTTTTCTTAGTGAGTTTTCCTTTTAGTTTTTGGGCAACTTAGTGAGGAATTTGTTTCTCAGAATTATATTTGGCAGTGAGTTTCACTGGTTCACACATGCTGCAGCTGCAAGGACATGCTAATCCTTTGAGCTTTGACACTTGACTGAAGTTCAAATTTGAATTTGCTGCTATGTAAGTTGAGCTAGGCAGCGACGTTGACGCTAGCAGAGACGCTGACTGCACTCCTGCCTGCCTACCGGCCGGATAATAAACGAGTATATAAAAATATTTCTAGATCTAGACAGGTGCTAATATTGCTATCCCTGTCGCTAGCACTCGTTTCGAGCCTGGCACTGAAAAGTCCTTTTCGCTCCTTTCGTACCGCTCGCATTCAAATGTTCTTCACACGGCACAGGTCCTTCCTGGTCGAGGACTCGTCGGTCGTGGTTGCCAGGAACAACGTTGCACAACAAATAACTGAACGGCGTATCCTTGACGACGGCAAGTGACTAACTAAAATTTTATTTGCTACCACACAAAACTTTAAAGCAAAAAAAGAGCTCGAAGGAACGAACGCACACCAAGACACCTGGCGTTGCGGGTAAAACAGAGAGCGAGACCGTCCGAGGGTAGGTTCCCCTTGCTGCCCATGCTGCCCCTGCTGTCGTCATCATCATCATCATCATCATCATCATCCTGCCACGGCTGCCACCGTCTTTTGGCCAACCACCAGCCACCACCGAAATTGAGTAAAAAAAAAAACAAAAAAATATACGTCGGAGTGTTCCTACCAATTTCCAACTAGCCCTAGCCTTCTAGAACTTCTCTCTTTCGGCCACGACCACTACCACTATCACTACCACTACCATTACCTCTCTGCCACGACCACTCCCTCTGCTCTTTGTTGCAGTTTCAGCTATTCCGTAAGCGAACTATAGCGTGTGCTAACCGCCAGCAGCACCACCAACACCAGGAACCAACAGGAACCACCATCAGCACCAGCACAGTAAGGCACTGAAAGAAAATATGATTAACTTTAGTGATCTTTCCAATGTTTGAACTTAGTCTCTGGGTGTTTTTGATTTCACTTAACGAAATATCATTTTAGTCTCTGAATTTCTGACTCTGCTTATAAACTTTATCAACTGTAAGGTGATTTTTTGTCAGTGTACCAATGCCATGACGCGCACTTTGCGTTATTTGGTAAAACGAGATTGTTGATAACGTGCCACCAACAACAGCAACAACGAACTATAAAAAACTCGCGGTACATAAAAAACGAATTTCTGCCTTGTTTTTATCCAACCACCCCCCTTCCCGCCCTACTATTTCCTTCACCCTTCTTCGCCCAGCCTATATAGCCACCCCCACTGTTTTTTTCCCTGTGTATTTTATTGTTAATGGGCAGCATTTGCTCGTCGATTCGATTTTTTTCCCTTGAATTTTTTCCTTTTGGTTGTACATTTGTTACTAGCTGACTTTTTTTTTTTCGGCCAGGATCAAAAAGTTTTGGCCCAGCAAGAGGTAGAAATACTATATATGGTATCGAATGTGGGAGGGGTTCAACAATGCTATCTAAGAAATAGTGCTAATGGATTTGGCAGCAGGCTTTTGTGTCCTTATGCAGGGGAAAGTAAAAGTAACTTTTGGGAAAATTGTGCAAGAAATACAGAAATGTTTATCGGATTTATGACTTTTATGACTTTTTAGGACTTTTTTATAAGTTTTTAAGATTTTTTAAGACTTTTGTTAAGTTGAAAAGGAGTTCTTAATATTAAAAGCAAAAAAAGGAAGAAATTTGTGAGACTTTTGGTAACCCAATCAAGATCGATCTAGCCTGGCCTTTGAATATATTTACCATAACTCCACCCTCTTTACTTAGCCAACCCATATATTCCATTTGGTCTCATTAGGATTGGGCAATACAAATATTCAATAATGTTCAAGCTCATTAGGAATCGATTGGCTAGAAGTACTACTCATAAGGCACATTGTGAAAACTAGAGGAGGAAATGTAGAACTACCTCTTGCAGAGTTACTGGCAGGTGCCAACTTATCTGTGTAATATGACAAATTGACCCTTCTTGCAAGTCATTACAGCTTTGCTTACTAATGCTCAGGCCATTGCATTTGGAAACTAAACAATGTATGTAGTGGCCAAATACCACCCCCTAGAAAGTACAGGGGGAAAGAAAAAAAAAACCAATTAAAAACACGCAACTTGTCCATTTCCAAGGAAAAAGCGCGTGAAATTTCGACGCGTTTTGGGCCAAAAAAGTGAATAACGATTATGTAAATGATTGATTTGGAGTTGGAGCGGGTTAGGCTGTACTTAGTCTGCTTATAGTGACTAGGGGTTACTTAGGGGTGGCTCTAACTTTCCCGATGCGGTTCAGCGATTTCACGGTATGGCACCGCGCTTGGAATAAACAAACATAATGCTCGTAATATCCTTATAATGGCACTAGTAACTCTCCGGGGGGGATTATTATTATTACTATTGCTGCTGGCTTTTTCTTAGTGTGGGAAACTTTGCTGGTGGTTATTAAATTTTATTTGGATTTTCTAGGGCCGACTAATTACCACACCCCCATCGCCATGCGCCTTAGATCCCTAATTTGGCAAGTCCCTTTTTGTCCATTCAATGTTCCTGCATGCAATTGCCTGGCGCCACGTGTCAGCGGGGGCATGGAGGCGCCAAAAAAGGGGTGGAGGGGGTTGAGTTGCATGTGTCGCATACTCGTATATGGAAATTTCTTAATGACAGGGGAGTTCAGCATGGCGCCCAAGTTCATTGTAGTGGAGTTCAGTGCTCAAGCAATGATTGAGTTTTATTGTTGATTGTTCAGCAGAGATTGCAGGTCAGGCATACAGGGTTAGCTGTTGGTGGTCAAAGTGTATGTTGTATAGAGGGTGTCCTTATGAAAGAGACAAGGAAGTGATATGTTTTTTGTGAAGTGAATGTAGCTCCCTTATACTATTTCTGACTGGTTCTAACCTTATGGATCTTTTCTTCTTTCAACCTGTATTACAATATCCAAATCGATCTATCTTATAATTTAAGAAGACAGCATCAGCTGGTTTCTCCTCATTGTTCTCTCGTTGTAGGCCTTAACTAACACATATGTTCTGACCCTGACATAAATATTTCCTTAGATCAATTCACATGTGTTCGATTCATTCCACACCCTCCAAAAAATTGTAACGTATTTTACCGGCCATCGCCAGCAAAAATACTTCGTTAGCATTGGGTCTTAAAGAGGGGCGATTGTTACCTTTTGGGCCACTCACTCGCTGAGGTATAAAATAATTACAAGTGGCAATCGGCAGACGACAAACGGCCAACTGCATCCAGGTAGAACTTGGCCCTTCCTCGGTGTCTTACCTTCAGGTTTACCTTTACCGCGTGCCATCATCGCCGGCTGCTGCTGCAGGTGCAGGAGTCAGCGAAGCGAGTCCCGATCCCAGTTAAACTCGGACACGTACTCAGAAATATTGTATACGAGTTTATGGAATGCACAAAAAATAATATTTACTAAATATGAAAACTGTTATAAATGAAAAATAAATAAAGAATTAAGTACAGTTAACCTTTTTATTATGTTAACTAATATCTGTTTTAGTTATGAGATCAAAAGTTAGGTAAGTTGTTAGATCAAAAAAGAAGGGTTGTACTGACCTTAAAACTAGTTTAACTTACTTTGACTTTGAACTGAAATAATAAACCTAAAAATATATAAAAATCTTTAATATTATATAATTATTCTCAGTGTAGCCACACACATTCTTAGAGCCAAAAGACAGTTGCAATTCGTGCTGGGCGGAAGGAAGCTGTTGCGCGGGTCAAAACACTTGTCCGGTTCCGAGTTTGAACCTTTTGGGCGAACCTGTTTGCAGGTTTATCTGGCAAGGGCGGGCTGTGAGATCTGGCCAACAGTCAGGCACACAGAGAAATATTTTAAGTATATTAAATATAAAACTTAAATATTCTAGATTTTTTGTGAATAAATTATAAATTATAAACTATAAGAAATCGTTCTTGTTTTCATATGCTAAGTCATTGGAGTAAGTTAACTATGAGCAGTATTTTTCTCAGTGTAATAGCCATGTAGCCCCATTACATTCTGTTGTCATTCCTTGGGCAGGTTGTTTCTCATGTGTGGTGCTCGATTTTAGGGGTTGTCCCGTCTTAACGGCAACTGCCTTTGCAACTGCGTCTGTGACTGGTGTGCATTGACCTGAAAACTCAGCGCGCCTTTTTCCTTATTTATATGTTGTTTTTATTGGAGGTATATCCACTATATAAAGAGAAAGAGATAATGATCTAATATTGCTGATTAATACATGATTGTAGATCGAATTTAGAGGTTGCTTGATGCTTTTTTTCGACGTAGATTGATATAAAAATTCTGATAATTTTTCTAGAATTTATTAAGTTGGGAAGTTCTCAAGTTCATTTCCATAAAAACTTACTTTTACCTTTTTTAATTAACTTAAAAGGTTTAAATTACCCATCCAACTCCCTCATCCCATTAAAAACCAAAGGTTATTTCAAATTTATTTAATAATTGTTTTTCGTTTTCTGATTGAGACGATCTTTATTAATGCGAAGCTGCTTTGTTTATTAGTTTTCTGGTTTCGTTCGTTTGTTGCTTTTTTCTTCCAATTAATCGATTCTTTTTTTCAAATATTTTTCTCTCATTAATGACTAACTTTTGAGTTGGTTTATGTAGTTGGTGTATTTACATGATGTTCGTTTCGGGAATGCATTGTTAATAAATTGGGCTTTTTATTATGCTCAAGGTTGTGCATTATAAAAAAGTTTTTTATTATTATTATTATTATAATTATTACGTTTGGTAGCATTTTGTTTTTATTTTCGTAATTGATCTTTAAGAAATCTACTCGTATGTGAAATAAATTGGACAACAGAAATTGCCCCCAATGGCTAGCTCTTCTCTCTTCTCACTTTTCCATTTAATTCTTTTTTTTTTTTTAATTTTTATATATTTTTTATTTTTAACAAATCTTTAGCAAACAGTTCAGTTGGACTGTTATGGATTTAGCAAATATTATTTATAAATAAATTAGTTTAAAGTTATTCAATAAAATGATTTAACTACTAACTCTCTGTGGCTTTATTATTATTTACACTCGGTTCATGGCATTTACAAATTATAAAGCTTCGGGTATTGAGAATTTAAAAAGTGTTTTGCAATCTGCACTTTCCTTAAAGCATCTCTTGACTTGCTCTTTTTAGTTTTCTGTTTTTTTTTTGCTAAATTCATTAATGCTTTTCTTTTTTTAATGTGTGAACTTTTATGGCTTTGTTTTTAGTTCTAGTTGGATTTTATTAGATTTTTTTATAATGTTACTGGTCTTTGGTTTAGCTTCTACTTTGGTTTATCAGCAGTTTAGCTTGTGAGGAGTTAAGAACATAAAATCCATTATCATATCATAACAAATCAAACTTTGTTTCGCTTGAAACCATCTAAGCAATCCATAAGTTTTAAATCTCTCAAAGAAGGCACCGTCACCCAAATCGATTGCTAACTAACATTTAACAGAGTTATATGGGTTAAGCTTTTTGTTTTTTGTAGGTTAAAAACCAAATTGAATATATAGTTTCTAAGGGTCCATCTTTAACGTATTTCTTTTATTTGTACATTCCTT